AAAATTAAGAGACTTTGTTGAATTGTAATTTTGTGTTTGTAATTCTGTACATTTAATTAAGTTATTGTTAATTATCTATTGGTTTAATGTAAGCGGCTATTGTTCGGGACGAACAATACTAAGGAAGGGGCAGTGTTACGACAACAGAAGTCACACAATGCTGGGAGTTTTTAGGAGGATCATGACTTTTCCTGGCAACTCTAGTCTGTTCAAGGCGCCCTCTCTTTTAGTATATAAGCCCGGCAAATAAAGCGGAGATATAATTGCAGATCTATAGAGAGATTGAAGATAGAGATAATCGACTCAAGCCATAAGTAAAGTGTGTGAATCACTGTGATTTATAGCGTGTGTTCATAAAAGTAGTCAAGTTTAAAGTGACTGTGGAAATTCTGTTTATTACAAAATTGTATCGAGAAAGAATAAACTAGTTTTAATTAAGAAAGGACTTGTATAGCTGAAGTTTCTCGGAAAGAATTTATACCGGAAAGTAACAAAATAACCAGATATGCAACATTATGTTAAGGGAAATATGAATTTGTGCAACCTCCATATTTTGAGTTTGCTCAGGTCCCCTCTAATCTCTGGGTTGCCTTTGAAATATATATGTGTGTGTGTTTATATATATATATACATACATATACACATAGAGACAGAGAACAAGGAGATTAGCTATTTTTTGTACAGTGTAATTGTAATATCAGATAGATCACACAAAAAATAGTAATTCTGTAGACTATAGAGTGCATTTTTATGATTGTTTTAGAACATTCTATCCATTTTAAGAAACAAACAGTATTAATGAACTCACCTGAAAATCTTTGGTATCCTCAACTTCTTTCTCTGTATAAAACAGTAAAGATAAAGAAAATATATGAATTCATGCACTTAATGTGATCAAAAATAATATTTGACTCTACAAATATTTATTGATGTAATTACCTACTAAAATGTGTAAAACAATTGAGTTTCATCATAGTCAGTTTTTTATCTTGTTGTTGACAACATTTTTTTACTTAAAACTTACTCGTTTCAAAGTTATCTAAGTAATTTTGGTTTAAACTGTGAGGAGAATGTATCACACTTAACAGGCTATTTAGCAATGTAATAGAAAAAGAATATCACATGCTAATCAAATTATTTATAAAGAGAGAGGTGTGCTTGATTCTGATAATTTAGATGTATAATGTGATACATAATAGGCTCTAATGAAAATTCTAAAGATTCAGACTATAAAGAGCTCTTACTTTTATACATGATATAGTCGCTGATCAGCATAATAATGTGATAAGTTGCAAAGATTCCTACTACACCTACTAGAACCCACATGAATGTGTCTGGGAGGTTTACAGCTGCAAGTTGTGAAGCAAAGAATATTGTGATAACTAGAACAAGAGAGAAAGGAAAAAATCATTCAGGCATAACTTGTTTTATCTGATACTTATGATATTTTAAAACTCATCTGACTCAACATGAGTTGTATAATATAGTTATCACCACTTACCTGCTATAATATATGAAGAATAGCCAACAGTTTGGTGTGATAAGTTGAAAACTGGTCTTCTGCTAGAATCTGGCTTTGGTCTGAAGAAAGCCATGAATAGCTGAAAAAAAGACCATAAAATTTTTAGTCCTTAGATTGGTATTTTGACTACAGCTATAGGACTTAAAAAATTATTTTATGAACTGAAATGTGTAAGAATTTGAAAAGTGTTACTTACTAAAGTTTGTTTTAAGAAATCTTGGAAATTATACACGTGATACTTAAAAAGTTACTTAGCCCCTTTCTTTTGCTGTGGTTTATTTACTTATTTATTTCTGCCTTCTTGATTAATAGAGTAATATTCCTAATCTATAATTTATTCTGTATATGTGCAAGTTTCACATAACATATGGTCAAGAAAATTAAGTTGATGACATTCCAGCCACCTTTGTTCCTTCTCATTCTATTGAGGTCACACATATTCTGCCCATGGATGGCATGGCTGCAATGCTGCACATTGTGCAAGAATGTAGACATCATTATCATTCAGTGACAACTCATGTGGTATCTTGAGGTTACAGCCTCCCTTAAAGTTGAATGAAAATGACCAGTCACATGGGTGTGCAAGTTGGCCTGAGTCAATCTGCTGTTACCTGAGAAGTAAGGAACACTGAACCTAAACAGTCTGGTAGATGATTTATGGCCTGATCAGTTGAAGATACCAAATCTTGTAGACATGACCATCCTGTGTCCATAAAGCAAACATACTGTGTTTGCCTTTGTGAATAATAAAGATTGATTACCTGTATTTTATATTGTTCCAATTCTTTTTCTTTCATAAATTCAGTTATTCCGAGATTTAGTACTTCATAATAAATATCTTGGAGAACCTTCCATTACTAAGCAAATCTATCCCATTGTTCTAAGATTTATTCAGTTTTACCCAAACATACCACAATTTGGAACACTTAATGAAAGAGGCATTACTACTTCAATACTACTATGACTGATCAAAGATGGTTTTTGTTAGATTTTTCATCATTATTTATCAATGAAACAAACAGTGGCCATAATAAATAGATACTTGTTTTGTTATATTTATTTTCATTTAATACAGCTTCCTTGATAACTTGGTGAAGGTATAAGTAATTTGAAGCATATCATTTGGTAATTTCATATGTGTACTTCCCACTATTAAATTTTTAAACAGTCTAGAAATGTTTAAGGTTGAAATAGATAGTTGTTCAGGACTGAATATTATTAGTCTGTACAAATTAATTTTGTCAGTTCTAACTTGGACTTTCTCAGGTTTTTATGTGTGGATAGGCCAGTTTTTTTGCAGTAGGTATCTGGTGACTTGTTAGTGATAAATTGCAATAATAAACAAACAGCACACAGTCCATTTGTTTTAAAATAGTATAATAAAACAAGTCAAACGAATATATAAATGTTTGTTACACTGCTGGTTATAACAGATGTATCCAGAGCTTTCAATAATTGTCTGTTTTTTTGTCAAAGTCCACACAGGCTGGTTCAATTACTTTAGAACACAATTGACAAGACAAATTGTTCTTCCTGCTCTGTTATTACAATACAGTCTGTGATAATTTCACTTTAGAAATCAGCACTATATGCTCTTTATGGCTAAACTCACAATCACACAGTCTAGTTGTACCTATCTAACTAACTCAAACTACATTTTGGACGCGTACTTATAGCGCAACTGAGGCCTAGAACGTTCCACATACTACATGATATTATGATGCAATAATTCTAAATTAAAACAACAAGAAAAACTTAGAAGGTTCTAGGAAAATGATGCAATAATACAACAATCATAAATTCACAACAATTGAACTACACAACGTATGATTCAAAAATAGTTATGTAAACAAATATGCGATAAACTATTGCTTCCAAAAATAAATAAATTTAACACTTATACTATACTTAAACCATCTAAATCATAACACTCGCACTAAACTCAAACAGTCAGGTATATCTAAGAAATTTTAAATACAACCAATAGGAGGAAAGTTACAATTACATTTATGGGTTATTACTTATAGGTTAAAACCTAAGGAATCAACTTTTATCCCTTGGCTATAGCCCCCCCCCCCCCAGTGGCACAGCAGTATGTTTGCAGAGTTACAATGCTAGAAACCGGTTTTTGATACCTGTGGTGGGCAGAGCACAGATAGCCCATTGGCTATAGGTCGACATATGTCACTAAAAGTCCCTGTTCACCAACATTGAATATTTAAATTGATATTTTAATATGTTTATGAAATAACTTTATGTAGTATTAAAACTTATACCTGTATAAGAGCCAGACCAACAGCTACACATCCCAAGATAGGGTGAGGATTACCATCAACCTGTGCAAAATAAAGAAAATATTTATACAACTTTGTGAAAATGCCATCTCATGTGGCAGTTAGTTAATATTAACATAACACAACACAAAAATAAGATACCCTATAACCTGAGCACATTTGAAAGGTCCATCTTTTGAAAGTGCTCAGGTTATAGGGTATCATATTTTGATGTTAAATTGGTTTAATTGAACTTGAATGTTTTTCTAACACCATGAACCTATGTTTTAACAACAACAATGGGCCTATTGGTCCATCTAAACTATCCCATCCACCAAACTAAACTTTAAAATCCAACTCAAATCCAATTCTTATCATTCAAGTATTTATCAAACCTTCCTTTAAGCTTCCTTAAATTTACTGCATCCATCACATCTGAAAGTAACCCATTTCAAAGGCCAAACACCCTGTTAGAAAAATCAAACTGTCTTAACTGAAGAAGATTTGTACTATGCTAACATTTATAAATCTCTCCCCTACTTCTTCCATTTGCACAATTAAGTACAAATAAGATGATGCATCAACAATATCAATTTCCTTAACAAACTTACTTACACCAATAAGATCCCATCTAACTTTTTTTTAAAAGAAAAAAAATATTCAGAGACCTTAATATGTACTCTTATGGCAACCTTTCCATCCCAAGTATCATCCTAGTAGCCATCCTCTGAACCCTTTCCAACAATTCAATATCCTTACTAAGGTAAGTATAGCTTAAGACTGAATGCAGTATTTCAAATGTCACCTAACCAATGACCTATACAATGAAATTATAACCTCTTTAGATTTATAGTCATTATTTTTGTAGATACAACATAAAATACTGTTTGCCCTTTCACAGGCAACAGTACACTCTTTGGATGGCTTAAGAGACTGATCAAACAGAACATCAAAGTCCTTTTCTTTCGAAACACTGTTAAGGTTATTCCTATCAAAATTATACTTATAATTCAAATTACTGTTACGTCTCCAGTTAGTTAATTTTCCGTAAAAATTCTTCCCGAAGAATTTTACCGATACAAGTCCTTTCTTAAATAAAACTAGTTTATTCTTTCTGAATACAACTTTGCGATACACTTAATTTCAACAGTCGCTCTATAACAAATGCTATAATTCACAATGAACTTCTCACGTGCTCAACAATATTCTTACTCATTACTCCCCGTTGTTTCTTGGCCGGTTTTGTATATACAAGACCACCCCAATCTAGTAGTCTCCCGACATTTCATGAAGGTTCAAGAAGGAAGTGGCGTGATACAAGCATCACGTGACCTGCATTGTCGTAACATTGCCCCTTTCATAGTATTGTTCATCCCGAACAATAGCATCTTACATTAAACCAATAACAATTAACAATAACTTAATTAAATGTACAGAATTACAAAAAAAAATTACAATTCAACAAAATCTCTTAATTTTACTGGACATATCTTCTTCCCTACTGGTCTCCGTCTTGTTGGCTTCTGCTTCACGTGGGGTTCATCTGCTTCATCAGAAAATGTCCTATCGTTGGTAACAGTCACATCAGTGGTAGTAACTTCATCAAGAGCTTCACCGTTTCCTTTCTCAAAACTGAGTA